GTTTTTGTTAAGCAAACTATTTTTAAGAAATCGGCAAAATACCTATTTTTGCTAATTTATCTTTAAGAGGTGGGTACAAATGGGCCAATATCAATTTTTCAAACAATTTGTAATGTAAATAAGGTTAGCAGGGCCACTATTACAATGTAACCTTTTTTTTTCTTAATTTGCCTTTATTTATCCTCAAACTTTTTCATCCATTATTTTCCCGTAATTATTCATAAATTATGCCATAAATCTAATAAGGCATTCAGACAGCTATATACTTTTTTATTTTTAAAAGTGTATTTAAAAAACGAATGCTTAAATCCTTAATCATTTTTCGTCACAAACTTTGATAATAGAAATGTTAAAAACTCGATCGTGTCGACTGTCTATCTCGTTAAAAAGTGTTTTTACATAATACATTTAAATTTATCAATACTTATATAAAAATATTGATTTTATAGGCTGGCAAAGTTTTTGCTGAAACGAACTATTTCAAGTGTGGGCAAACACCTTTTTTATTACTTATTTTGAAGATAGGGTACTGTACTTAACTATTTAAAAATATAAAAAAATATATATAAAAATATTGATTTTATAGGCTGGCAAAGTTTTTTGCTGAAACGAACTATTTCCAAGTTGTGGGCAAACGACCTTTTTTTATTACTTATTTTGAAGATGTAGGCGCTACTGTACTTAACTTATTTAAAAAAAAGAATTAAATTTGTAATATACATACAAGTTTTAAAATTTTAATTTTTTATTTGCCAGTAATTATTAGTGAACAAATAAAATTTGCCGTTCCATTTTATTTAAATTTATGGAATGTACACCACCACCTTAATGAGTTTTCATCACAAATTTGATACTAGAAATTTTGTATGTTGAAAACGCGATCGTCACCGCTGTTTTACTTCGTTCATAAAAAAAATTTTATTTAAAATTTAAAAAAATTAAATTTTGATTTACACACAACAATATATATATCTTTGCAACAGAAAGTGTATTTATTTTGTTTGAAACGAATAAAGCATTAGAAATTTATTATTTAAAGTCTGTATATATATACAACTTTCATTTATTACTGAAACGAATTTATGCATAAACGGCCTTTTCTTACTAAAAAAAAATAAATTTTTAATGTGCACAGATTTAGCAGTGCAACTTTAAAATTTGTATTTATTAATTGTCCGTAACCTATTTGTTATCCATATTTTACCCGTTAATTATTCCTGAATAAATACAATTTTTTTTAAATATTATTTTTAAGTGGTTGGCAATGTTTTTTTTTTAATAAAAACAATTTTTAAGATGCGGCCAAACAAACTTTTTTATTATTGATTTTGAAGAGGTTAGCTCAAATGGGCTTATCTTACTTTAAAAAACAAATAAATTTGTAATGTACATAAAGTTAGCAATGCAACTTTTGAAATTTTAATTTTGTTGTTCTTTATTTGCCTTTAATTACCCGTAAACCTCTTTGTTATCCATAATTATTCCCTTAATTATTGCTGAATAAATAACATTTGCCGTTACATTTTTTTTAATTAAAAAAAATTTGTACACCCCACTAATCTTGAACTTTTAGAAAATTGTACTATTACTATTTGAAGTAGACCCACCCTATTACCAAAGATCAGAGACCCATTCCATTAACCAAAGATCAGGGGCATAGTCGGCCGATCCTTATGACATTTGGTAGGTCGGATTGATTGGCCAAATATAAAACCCATAGAAAATACCAGCTTCCAAACCTTACGAACAAAAAAGTTATGGCATTTCCGATTAATCAATTGTATGGCAGCTATAGGATATAGTCGGCCGATCCTTATGACATTGGGTAGGTCGGATTGATTGGCCAAATATAAGACCCTTAGAAAATCCCAGCTTCCTAACTTTACGAACAAAAAGTTATGGCATTTTCGATCAATCAGTAATATGGCAGCTATAGGATATAGTCGGCCGATCCTTATGAAATGAGAGTGCGTTTAGTTTTGCTTGCGTACGACCAAAAACGAACTGTGAGTAAGAAAGTAAAAGCGCGAAATAAAACGGTTGCGTTTATAAAAATTTTAATAATTTAAGTATAATAATTTTTAAAAATTAATTTTTAAACAGCAACATAAAGAGAATGCCGCGCGCATCTTCTTTGTCCTAGGAACAACGCCGTAAAGCGCACAACTAAGCGATCACAATATCAAAACAAATCGCAAATAAGGACCCAAATGCCCGGCGGTCTTTAAATAGTGTAAGCCACGCTCTTGCCTAATTTCGAAGAAATTGGACAAGAATGGACAGTCAATACGGACAATCGTGGAGCAGAGCGACCACAGCGTGTTCAGGAAAAGTGTTAGCGCAAAGGTCGATGTCAGGTAGCTGACCAACGTGCACGTGCGCAATTCTTAAATTGCTATATGTAAGGATCGATTAAAGGCTTATACTGTAGTTTGATTTTATATTGCAGCCCAGCCTACCCAAATTTGTACAAATCTTGGATAACACCATTCAGATATATCACAATATCAAAACAAATCGCAAATAAGGACCCAAATGCCCGGCGGTCTTCAAATAGTGTAAGCCACGCTCTTGCCTAATTTCAAAGAAATTGGACGGCAGCAGTCGCAAAAAACTGCTGCGCTACCTGGACAGTCAGCACGGAAAACCGTGGAGCAGAGCGACCACACCGTGTTCAGGAAAAAGTGTTAGCGCAAAGGTCGATAACAGGTAGCTGACCAACGTGCACGTGCCCAATTCTTAAATTGCTATATGTAAGGATCGATGAAGGGCTTTACTGTAGTTTGATTTTATATTGCAGCCCAGCCTACCCAAACTTGTAAAAATCTTGGATGACACCATTCCGATATACCTGCTTTCCTATAAAAAATTAGAACTCCCGTAATGCACGCAAGTAATTTGGGGGACACTGAGTTTCAGTTTCGCGTAGCGTATTTCGAAGAACCTGAAAACAGCAATAATATGTTGCCAACGAATTGTTATTAAACATAACTATAATTTTGATTTGCACAACGCATTTAAATTTGTAAACACATATATACAAATATTTTTTAAGAACGTTTTTGTTAAGCAAACTATTTTTAAGAAATCGGCAAAATACCTATTTTTGCTAATTTATCTTTCAGAGGTGGGTACAAATGGGCCAATATCAATTTTTCAAACAATTTGTAATGTGAATAAGGTTAGCAGGGCCACTATTACAATGTAACCTTTTTTTCTTAATTTGCCTTTATTTATCCTTAAACTTTTTCATCCATAATTTGCCGTTAATTATTCATAAATTATGCCATAAATCTAATAAGGCATTCAGACAGCTATATACTTTTTAATTTTTAAAAGTGTATTTAAAAAACGAATGCTTAAATCCTTAATCATTTTTCGTCACAAACTTTGATAATAGAAATGTTAAAAACTCGATCGTGTCGACTGTCTATCTCGTTAAAAAGTGTTTTTACATAATACATTTAAATTTATCAATACTTATATAAAAATATTGATTTTATAGGCTGGCAAAGTTTTTTGCTGAAACGAACTACTTCCAAGTTGTGGGCAAACGACCTTTTTTATTACTTATTTTGAAGATGTAGGCGCTACTGTACTTAACTTATTTAAAAAAAGAATTAAATTTGTAATATACATACAAGTTTTAAAATTTTAATTTTTTATTTGCCAGTAATTATTAGTGAACAAATAAAATTTGCCGTTCCATTTTATTTAAATTTATGGAATGTACACCACCACCTTAATGAGTTTTCATCACAAATTTGATACTAGAAATTTTGTATGTTGAAAACGCGATCGTCACCGCTGTTTTACTTCGTTCATAAAAAAATTTTATTTAAAATTTAAAAAAATTAAATTTTGATTTACACACAACAATATATATATCTTTGCAACAGAAAGTGTATTTATTTTGTTTGAAACGAATAAAGCATTAGAAATTTATTATTTAAAGTCTGTATATATATACAACTTTCATTTATTACTGAAACGAATTTATGCACAAACGGCCTTTTCTTACTAAAAAAAAATAAATTTTTAATGTGCACATATTTAGCAGTGCAACTTTAAAATTTGTATTTATTAATTGTCCGTAACCTATTTGTTATCCATATTTTACCCGTTAATTATTCCTGAATAAATACAATTTTTTTAAATATTATTTTTAAGTGGTTGGCAATGTTTTTTTTTTAATAAAAACTATTTTTAAGATGCGGCCAAACAAACTTTTTTATTATTGATTTTGAAGAGGTTAGCTCAAATGGGCTTATCTTACTTTAAAAAACAAATAAATTTGTAATGTACATAAAGTTAGCAATGCAACTTTTGAAATTTTAATTTTGTTGTTCTTTATTTGCCTTTAATTACCCGTAAACCTCTTTGTTATCCATAATTATTCCCTTAATTATTGCTGAATAAATAACATTTGCCGTTACATTTTTTTTTAACTAAAAAAAATTTGTACATCCCCACTAATCTTGAACTTTTAGAAAATTGTACTATTACTATTTGAAGTACACCCATTCCCTATTACCAAAGATCAGGGGCATAGTCGGCCGATCCTTATGACATTTGGTAGGTCGGATTGATTGGCCAAATATAAAACCCATAGAAAATCCCAGCTTCCTAACTTTACGAACAAAAAAGTTATGGCATTTTCGATCAATCAGTTGTATGGCAGCTATAGGATATAGTCGGCCGATCCTTATGACATTTGGTAGGTCGGATTGATTGGCCAAATATAAAACCCATAGAAAATACCAGCTTCCAAACCTTACGAACAAAAAAGTTATGGCATTTCCGATCAATCAATTGTATGGCAGCTATAGGATATAGTCGGCCGATCCTTATGACATTTGGTAGGTCGGATTGACCCTTAGAAAGACCCTTAGAAAATCCCAGCTTCCTAACTTTACGAACAAAAAAGTTATGGCATTTTCGATCAATTAGTAATATGGCAGCTATAGGATATAGTCGGCCGATCCTTATGAAATTTGGTAGGTCAGATTGATTGGCCAATAATGGGATGTATACCATCACCTTAAAGATTTTTTATCACAAAATTTGATATTAAAAATTTTGTATTTTGAAAATGCGATCGTAACCGCTGTTTTACTTCGTTCATAAAATAAAATTTAATTTAAAATTTAAAAAAGTCAAATTTTGATTTACACACAACAATATATACGTCTTTGAAATAGAAAGTGTTGTTTGAATCGAATAAAGCATTAGAAATTTATTATTTAAAGACAAGTCTGTATATATAATATATACAATTTTTATTTATTACTAAAACGAATTTGTGCACAAATGGCCTTTTCTTACTAAAAAAAATTAATTTGTTATGTGCACAGAGTTAGCAGTGCAACTTTAAAATTTTAATTTATTAATTGTCCGTAACCTATTTGTTATCCATATTTTTCCCGGAAATTATTCCTGAATAAACACAATTTTATGTTTTTACATAGTTCATATTTGTTAATATTTTAAATATTATTTTTAAGTGGTTGGAAAACTTTTTTTTTAATAAAAACAATTTTTGAGATGCGGCCAAACGGACTTTTTTATTATTGATTTCGAAGAGGTAAGCTTAGATGGGCTTTTCTTACTTAAAAAAAACAAAAAAATTTGTAATGTACATAAAGTTAGCAAAGCTAAAATAATAAAATTTTAAATTTTAATTTTGTTCTTAATTTGCCTTTAATTACCCGAAAACCTCTTTGTTATCCATAATTACCCCCTTATTTATTCCTGAATAAATAACATTTGCCGTTACATTTTTTTAATTAAAAAAATATACACCCCCATCAATCTTGAACTTTTAGAAAATTGTACTATTACTATTTTAAGAGCCATTCCCTATTAGCTAATATAAAACATTATTTATTAACGAAACAGAGTTTACTTTTTGAATTTTATAAAAAAAAAAATTAAGAAAAATGTCTTCGAAACGAATTTTGTAATTGTTAATTTTCCCTGTTTCCTATTAAATAAATAAGAGAATAAAGAAAAAATGTGAGGAATAAAAACAATACATTTTTTTAGCACTAACCTCCGTATTTAAATAAATCGTATTACTTTTTCCGATCTCTTGAAGGTTTTCCTGAAAAATATAAATATGAACCCCTTTTTTATTAATGAAATAATTAAAAAAACAATAAGTTCATAGAAAAAATTGTACAAAATAAAAAATGCAAACTTAAATTTATACTAAATTAAAATTATGATTTACATACAACAATACATTTATCTTCAAAATAGAACGTTTATTTATTTTGTGTAAAACGAATATTTTATTAGAACTTTAATAAGTCAGTATATAGTTAATATTTATTAGTAATAATAATATTTTAATATTTAGTTTAATATTTTATTAGTTTTTCAAACAAGTATCAATAACATTTTTTACCACTAACCTTTCGTACTTCGACGTATTCTGTTATTTATTAAATTAAATCATATCGTTGTTTTCCTTTTTTGTTCCTTTGTTGCTTTTTCTGAAATATGAAAAAAAAAATAAATTAAATGAACAATGATAAATTAAAAAAAAAAAAAATTTAAAAAAAACAATATTCAAAAAAAAAAAAAAACAAATTAAAATGAAAAAAAAAATAACTGTTCTTTTCAGAGCGAGAGCCCGCAAAGCGAAAAAAAACAATATTCAAAAAAAAACAAAACAAATTAAAATGAAAAAAAAAACTAACTGTTCTTTTCAGAGCGAGAGCCCGCAAAGCGAAACACGATTGTTATTTGCGAGCTACGGTTACAAACAAATTATGTATGCATGTGTGTTTGTATTTATGTATGCATTTATTTATTCATATTATTATTTAAAAAAACATTTTATGTTTTCCGAAGACCTCACTTTACTGTAATTATTATTATTTTTTGTTTATGTGCTCCGGAAAACTCACTTCACTTTTTTTTTAAATCATGCACTTCACTTTTTATTTTTTTTACCATGACTGCTTCCTCGCCCGAGTCCAAAATTAAACTGACGCCATGTCAATCCACCGATCGCCTGCCGAGCTAACACTCTCAGTCACCATCCCTCTCGCACTGTGTCTCTCTTGAAGAGAGAGTCTCTTCACACAAAAACAAAAACATGTGTGTGACGCACGTTGATTGGAATTAGTCCGTTAGGAATAAGAAAGAATGTAGAAATATAGAAAACAAGAAAAAAGGAAAGAGTAGTAGAATAGGTGGCTAAGCTAAGCCCAAGAAGTTAAATGTGCATATGTATGTACATATACACATATCGTAAAGCAATCGAGCTTTAGGGGCATTGCATATGGTTTAGATCTCAATAACGCAACATTGCAACTTCTCCTTAATGCATCAAACCAAAGACCATGGCTATATCGACTCGGCTAGTGACCCTGATCAAGAATATATATACTTTATAGGGTCGGAAACGCTTCCTTCTAGCTGTTACATACTTTTGCACGAATACAATATACCCTTTTACTCTACGAGTAACGGGTATAATAAGAACTGCCGTAATGCACGCAAGTAATTTGGGGGACATTGAGTTTCAGTTTCGCGTAGCGGCTTTCGAAGAACCTGAAAACAGCAATAATAAGTTGCCAACGAATTGTTATTAAACATAACTTTAATTTTGATTTGCACAACGCATTTAAATTTGTAAACACATATATACAAATATTTTTTAAGAACGTTTTTGTTAAGCAAACTATTTTTAAGAAATCGGCAAAAAACCTATTTTGGCTAATTTATCTTTAAGAGGTGGGTACAAATGGGCCAATATCAATTTTTCAAACAATTTGTAATGTGAATAAGGTTAGCAGGGCCACTATTACAATGCAACCTTTTTTTCTTAATTTGCCTTTATTCATCCTTAAACTTTTTCATCCATAATTTGCCGTTAATTATTCATAAATTATGCCATAAATCTAATAAGGCATTCAGACAGCTATATACTTTTTAATTTTTAAAAGTGTATTTAAAAAACGAATGCTTAAATCCTTAATCATTTTTCGTCACAAACTTTGATAATAGAAATGTTAAAAACTCGATCGTGTCGACTGTCTATCTCGTTAAAAAGTGTTTTTACATAATACATTTAAATTTATCAATACTTATATAAAAATATTGATTTTATAAGCTGGCAAAGTTTTTTGCTGAAACGAACTATTTCCAAGTTGTGGGCAAACGACCTTTTTTTATTACTTATTTTGAAGATGTAGGCGCTACTGTACTTAACTTATTTAAAAAAATATATAAAAATAATATATATAAAAATATTGATTTTATAAGCTGGCAAAGTTTTTTGCTGAAACGAACTATTTCCAAGTTGTGGGCAAACGACCTTTTTTTATTACTTGTTTTGAAGATGTAGGCGCTACTGTACTTAACTTATTTAAAAAAAAGAATTAAATTTGTAATATACATACAAGTTTTAAAATTTTAATTTTTTATTTGCCAGTAATTATTAGTAAACAAATAAAATTTGCCGTTCCATTTTATTTAAATTTATGGAATGTACACCACCACCTTAATGAGTTTTCATCACAAATTTGATACTAGAAATTTTGTATGTTGAAAACGCGATCGTCACCGCTGTTTTACTTCGTTCATAAAAAAAATTTATTTAAAATTTAAAAAAATTAAATTTTGATTTACACACAACAATATATATATCTTTGCAACAGAAAGTGTATTTATTTTGTTTGAAACGAATAAAGCATTAGAAATTTATTATTTCAAGTCTGTATATATATACAACTTTCATTTATTACTGAAACGAATTTATGCATAAACGGCCTTTTCTTACTAAAAAAAAATAAATTTTTAATGTGCACAGATTTAGCAGTGCAACTTTAAAATTTGTATTTATTAATTGTCCGTAACCTATTTGTTATCCATATTTTACCCGTTAATTATTCCTGAATAAATACAATTTTTTTTAAATATTATTTTTAAGTGGTTGGCAATGTTTTTTTTTAATAAAAACAATTTTTAAGATGCGGCCAAACAAACTTTTTTATTATTGATTTTGAAGAGGTTAGCTCAAATGGGCTTATCTTACTTTAAAAAACAAATAAATTTGTAATGTACATAAAGTTAGCAATGCAACTTTTGAAATTTTAATTTTGTTGTTCTTAATTTGCCTTTAATTACCCGTAAACCTCTTTGTTATCCATAATTATTCCCTTAATTATTGCTGAATAAATAACATTTGCCGTTACATTTTTTTTAATTAAAAAAATTTTGTACACCCCCACTAATTTTGAACTTTTAGAAAATTGTACTATTACTATTTGAAGTAGACCCATTCCCTATTACCAAAGATCAGGGGCATAGTCGGCCGATCCTTATGACATTTGGTAGGTCGGATTGATTGGCCAAATATAAAACCCATAGAAAATACCAGCTTCCAAATCTTACGAACAAAAAAGTTATGGCATTTCCGATTAATCAATTGTATGGCAGCTATAGGATATAGTCGGCCGATCCTTATGACATTTGGTAGGTCGGATTGATTGGCCAAATATAAGACCCTTAGAAAATCCCAGCTTCCTAACTTTACGAACAAAAAAGTTATGGCATTTTCGATCAATCAGTAATATGGCAGCTATAGGATATAGTCGGCCGATCCTTATGAAATGAGAGTGCGTTTAGTTTTGCTTGCGTACGACCAAAAACGAACTGTGAGTAAGAAAGTAAAAGCGCGAAATAAAACGGTTGCGTTTATAAAAATTTTAATAATTTAAGTATATAATTTTTAAAAATTAATTTTTAAACAGCAACATAAAGAGAATGCCGCGCGCATCTTCTTTGTCCTAGGAACAACGCCGTAAAGCGCACAACTAAGCGATCACAATATCAAAACAAATCGCAAATAAGGACCCAAATGCCCGGCGGTCTTTAAATAGTGTAAGCCACGCTCTTGCCTAATTTCGAAGAAATTGGACAAGAATGGACAGTCAATACGGACAATCGTGGAGCAGAGCGACCACAGCGTGTTCAGGAAAAGTGTTAGCGCAAAGGTCGATGTCAGGTAGCTGACCAACGTGCACGTGCGCAATTCTTAAATTGCTATATGTAAGGATCGATTAAAGGCTTATACTGTAGTTTGATTTTATATTGCAGCCCAGCCTACCCAAATTTGTACAAATCTTGGATAACACCATTCAGATATATCACAATATCAAAACAAATCGCAAATAAGGACCCAAATGCCCGGCGGTCTTCAAATAGTGTAAGCCACGCTCTTGCCTAATTTCAAAGAAATTGGACGGCAGCAGTCGCAAAAAACTGCTGCGCTACCTGGACAGTCAGCACGGAAAACCGTGGAGCAGAGCGACCACACCGTGTTCAGGAAAAAGTGTTAGCGCAAAGGTCGATAACAGGTAGCTGACCAACGTGCACGTGCCCAATTCTTAAATTGCTATATGTAAGGATCGATGAAGGGCTTTACTGTAGTTTGATTTTATATTGCAGCCCAGCCTACCCAAACTTGTAAAAATCTTGGATGACACCATTCCGATATACCTGCTTTCCTATAAAAAATTAGAACTCCCGTAATGCACGCAAGTAATTTGGGGGACACTGAGTTTCAGTTTCGCGTAGCGTATTTCGAAGAACCTGAAAACAGCAATAATATGTTGCCAACGAATTGTTATTAAACATAACTATAATTTTGATTTGCACAACGCATTTAAATTTGTAAACACATATATACAAATATTTTTTAAGAACGTTTTTGTTAAGCAAACTATTTTTAAGAAATCGGCAAAATACCTATTTTTGCTAATTTATCTTTCAGAGGTGGGTACAAATGGGCCAATATCAATTTTTCAAACAATTTGTAATGTGAATAAGGGCCACTATTACAATGTAACCTTTTTTTCTTAATTTGCCTTTATTTATCCTTAAACTTTTTCATCCATAATTTGCCGTTAATTATTCATAAATTATGCCATAAATCTAATAAGGCATTCAGACAGCTATATACTTTTTAATTTTTAAAAGTGTATTTAAAAAACGAATGCTTAAATCCTTAATCATTTTTCGTCACAAACTTTGATAATAGAAATGTTAAAAACTCGATCGTGTCGACTGTCTATCTCGTTAAAAAGTGTTTTTACATAATACATTTAAATTTATCAATACTTATATAAAAATATTGATTTTATAGGCTGGCAAAGTTTTTTGCTGAAACGAACTACTTCCAAGTTGTGGGCAAACGACCTTTTTTTATTACTTATTTTGAAGATGTAGGCGCTACTTTACTTAACTTATTTAAAAAAAAGAATTAAATTTGTAATATACATACAAGTTTTAAAATTTTAATTTTTTATTTGCCAGTAATTATTAGTGAACAAATAAAATTTGCCGTTCCATTTTATTTAAATTTATGGAATGTACACCACCACCTTAATGAGTTTTCATCACAAATTTGATACTAGAAATTTTGTATGTTGAAAACGCGATCGTCACCGCTGTTTTACTTCGTTCATAAAAAAATTTTATTTAAAATTTAAAAAAATTAAATTTTGATTTACACACAACAATATATATATCTTTGCAACAGAAAGTGTATTTATTTTGTTTGAAACGAATAAAGCATTAGAAATTTATTATTTAAAGTCTGTATATATATACAACTTTCATTTATTACTGAAACGAATTTATGCACAAACGGCCTTTTCTTACTAAAAAAAAATAAATTTTTAATGTGCACATATTTAGCAGTGCAACTTTAAAATTTGTATTTATTAATTGTCCGTAACCTATTTGTTATCCATATTTTACCCGTTAATTATTCCTGAATAAATACAATTTTTTTAAATATTATTTTTAAGTGGTTGGCAATGTTTTTTTTTTAATAAAAACTATTTTTAAGATGCGGCCAAACAAACTTTTTTATTATTGATTTTGAAGAGGTTAGCTCAAATGGGCTTATCTTACTTTAAAAAACAAATAAATTTGTAATGTACATAAAGTTAGCAATGCAACTTTTGAAATTTTAATTTTGTTGTTCTTTATTTGCCTTTAATTACCCGTAAACCTCTTTGTTATCCATAATTATTCCCTTAATTATTGCTGAATAAATAACATTTGCCGTTACATTTTTTTTTAACTAAAAAAAATTTGTACATCCCCACTAATCTTGAACTTTTAGAAAATTGTACTATTACTATTTGAAGTACACCCATTCCCTATTACCAAAGATCAGGGGCATAGTCGGCCGATCCTTATGACATTTGGTAGGTCGGATTGATTGGCCAAATATAAAACCCATAGAAAATCCCAGCTTCCTAACTTTACGAACAAAAAAGTTATGGCATTTTCGATCAATCAGTTGTATGGCAGCTATAGGATATAGTCGGCCGATCCTTATGACATTTGGTAGGTCGGATTGATTGGCCAAATATAAAACCCATAGAAAATACCAGCTTCCAAACCTTACGAACAAAAAAGTTATGGCATTTCCGATCAATCAATTGTATGGCAGCTATAGGATATAGTCGGCCGATCCTTATGACATTTGGTAGGTCGGATTGACCCTTAGAAAGACCCTTAGAAAATCCCAGCTTCCTAACTTTACGAACAAAAAAGTTATGGCATTTTCGATCAATTAGTAATATGGCAGCTATAGGATATAGTCGGCCGATCCTTATGAAATTTGGTAGGTCAGATTGATTGGCCAATAATGGGATGTATACCATCACCTTAAAGATTTTTTATCACAAAATTTGATATTAAAAATGTTGTATTTTGAAAATGCGATCGTAACCGCTGTTTTACTTCGTTCATAAAATAAAATTTAATTTAAAATTTAAAAAAGTCAAATTTTGATTTACACACAACAATATATACGTCTTTGAAATAGAAAGTGTTGTTTGAATCGAATAAAGCATTAGAAATTTATTATTTAAAGGCCTTTTCTTACTAAAAAAAATTAATTTGTTATGTGCACAGAGTTAGCAGTGCAACTTTAAAATTTTAATTTATTAATTGTCCGTAACCTATTTGTTATCCATATTTTTCCCGGAAATTATTCCTGAATAAACACAATTTTATGTTTTTACATAGTTCATATTTGTTAATATTTTAAATATTATTTTTAAGTGGTTGGAAAACTTTTTTTAATAAAAACAATTTTTGAGATGCGGCCAAACGGACTTTTTATTTATTTCGAAGAGGTAAGCTTAGATGGGCTTTCTTACTTAAAAAAACAACAAAATTTGTAATGTACATAAAGTTAGCAAAGCTAAAATAATAAAATTTTAAATTTTAATTTTGTTCTTAATTTGCCTTTAATTACCCGAAAACCTCTTTGTTATCCATAATTACCCCCTTATTTATTCCTGAATAAATAACATTTGCCGTTACATTTTTTTAATTAAAAAAATATACACCCCCATCAATCTTGAACTTTTAGAAAATTGTACTATTACTATTTTAAGAGCCATTCCCTATTAGCTAATATAAAACATTATTTATTAACGAAACAGAGTTTACTTTTTGAATTTTATAAAAAAAAAAAATTAAGAAAAATGTCTTCGAAACGAATTTTGTAATTGTTAATTTTCCCTGTTTCCTATTAAATAAATAAAAGAATAAAGAAAAAATGTGAGGAATAAAAACAATACATTTTTTTAGCACTAACCTCCGTATTTAAATAAATCGTATTACTTTTTCCGATCTCTTGAAGGTTTTCCTGAAAAATATAAATATGAACCCCTTTTTTATTAATGAAATAATTAAAAAAACAATAAGTTCATAGAAAAAATTGTACAAAATAAAAAATGCAAACTTAAATTTATACTAAATTAAAATTATGATTTACATACAACAATACATTTATCTTCAAAATAGAACGTTTATTTATTTTGTGTAAAACGAATATTTTATTAGAACTTTAATAAGTCAGTATATAGTTAATATTTATTAGTAATAATAATATTTTAATATTTAGTTTAATATTTTATTAGTTTTTCAAACAAGTATCAATAACATTTTTTACCACTAACCTTTCGTACTTCGACGTATTCTGTTATTTATTAAATTAAATCATATCGTTGTTTTCCTTTTTTGTTCCTTTGTTGCTTTTTCTGAAATATGAAAAAAAAAATAAATTAAATGAACAATGATAAATTAAAAAAAAACAAAATTTAAAAAAAACAATATTCAAAAAAAAACAAAACAAATTAAAATGAAAACAAAAATAACTGTTCTTTTCAGAGCGAGAGCCCGCAAAGCGAAAAAAAACAATATTCAAAAAAAAAACAAAACAAATTAAAATGAAAAAAAAAACTAACTGTTCTTTTCAGAGCGAGAGCCCGCAAAGCGAAACACGATTGTTATTTGCGAGCTACGGTTACAAACAAATTATGTATGCATGTGTGTTTGTATTTATGTATGCATTTATTTATTCATATTATTATTTAAAAAAACATTTTATGTTTTCCGAAGACCTCACTTTACTGTAATTATTATTATTTTTTTGTTTATGTGCTCCGGAAAACTCACTTCACTTTTTTTTTAAATCATGCACTTCACTTTTTATTTTTTTTACCATGACTGCTTCCTCGCCCGAGTCCAAAATTAAACTGACGCCATGTCAATCCACCGATCGCCTGCCGAGCTAACACTCTCAGTCACCATCCCTCTCGCACTGTGTCTCTCTTGAAGAGAGAGTCTCTTCACACAAAAACAAAAACATGTGTGTGACGCACGTTGATTGGAATTAGTCCGTTAGGAATAAGAAAGAATGTAGAAATATAGAAAACAAGAAAAAAGGAAAGAGTAGTAGAATAGGTGGCTAAGCTAAGCCCAAGAAGTTAAATGTGCATATGTATGTACATATACACATATCGTAAAGCAATCGAGCTTTAGGGGCATTGCATATGGTTTAGATCTCAATAACGCAACATTGCAACTTCTCCTTAATGCATCAAACCAAAGACCATGGCTATATCGACTCGGCTAGTGACCCTGATCAAGAATATATACATATACTTTATAGGGTCGGAAACGCTTCCTTCTAGCTGTTACATACTTTTGCACGAATACAATATACCCTTTTACTCTACGAGTAACGGGTATAATAAGAACAATTAAATTTGTAATATGACATACAAGTTTTAAAATTTTAATTTTTTATTTGCCAGTAATTATTAGTAAACAACAATAAAATTTGCCGTTCCATTGTTATTTAAATTTATGGAATGCACACCACAACTTTAATGAGTTTTCATCAAATAAAATTTGATGCTAGAAATTTTGTATGTTGAAAACGTTTTCGTTAACAACTGTTTTTAAAATTCGTTCATAAAAATATTATAATAATTAATAATAATTATAATATTTTATTCAAAATGAAAAAAATATAAATTTTGATTTACACACAACAATAATATATATCTTTGCAACAGAAAGTGTATTTATTTTGTTTGAAACGAATAAAGCATTAAAAATTTATTATTTAAAGTCTGTATATATATACAACTTTCATTTATTACTGAAACGAATTTATGCACAAACGGCCTTTTTCTACTTAAAAAAAAAAAAAATTTTTAATGTGCACAGATTTAGCAGTGCAACTTTAAAATTTGTATTTATTAATTGTCCGTAACCTATTTGTTATTATTGCTGAATAAATAACATTTGCCGTTACATTTAAATTTAATATTATATAAAAAAATATTGTACATCCCCACTAATCTTGAACTTTGGGAAAATTGTACTATTACTAATATGAAGTATTCACCCAGTCCCTATTACCAAAGATCAGGGGCATAGTCGTCCGTATCCTTATGACATTTGGTAGGTCGGATTGATTGGCCAAATATAAAACCCATAGAAAATCCCAGCTTCCTAACTTTACGAACAAAAAAAATTATGGCATTTTCGATCAATCAGTTGTATGGCAGCTATAGGATATAGTCGGCACGATCCTTATTTTATTTGGTAGGTCTGATTGATTGGCCAAATATTAAAACCCATAGAAAATACCAGCTTCCAAACCTTACGAACAAAAAAGTTATGGCATTTTCGATCAATCAGTAATATGGCAGCTATAGGATATAGTCGGCCGATCCTTATGAAATTTGGTAGGTCAGATTGATTGGCCAATAATGGGATGTATACCATCACCTTAAAGATTTTTTCATCACAAAATTTGATATTAAAAATTTTGTATTTTGAAAATGCGATCGTAACCGCTGTTTTACTTCGTTCATAAAATAAAATTTAATTTAAAATTTAAAAAAGTCAGATTTTGATTTACACACAACAATATATACGTCTTTGAAATAGAAAGTGTTTTTTGTTTGAATCGAATAAAGCATTAGAAATTTATTATTTAAAGACAAGTCTGTATATATAATATATACAATAAACCTCTTTGTTATCCATAATTACCCCCTTATTTATTCCTGAATAAATAACATTTGCCGTTACATTTTTTTAATTAAAAAAATATACACCCCCACTAATCTTGAACTTTTAGAAAATTGCACTATTACTATTTTAAGAGCCATTCCCTATTAGCTAATATAAAACATTATTTATTAACGAAACAGAGATTAATTTTTGAATTTTATAAAAAAAAAAAATTAAGAAAAATGTCTTCGAAACGAATTTTGTAATTGTTAATTTTCCCTGTTTCCTATTAAATAAATAAAAGAATAAAGAAAAATGTGAGGAATAAAAACAATACATTTTTTTAGCACTAACCTCCGTATTTAAATAAATCGTATTACTTTTTCCGATTTCTTGAAGGTTTTCCTGAAAAATATAAATATGAAAACCTTTTTTATTAATGAAATAATTAAAAAAACAATAAGTTCATAGAAAAAATTGTACAAAATAAAAAATGCAAACTTAAATTTATACTAAATTAAAATTATGATTTACATACAACAATACATTTATCTTCAAAATAGAACGTTTATTTATTTTGTGTAAAACGAATATTTTATTAGAACTTTAATAAGTCAGTATATAGTTAATATTTATTAGTAATAATAATATTTTAATATTTAGTTTAATATTTTATTAGTTTTTCAAACAAGTATCAATAACATTTTTTACCACTTACCTTTCGTACTTCGACGTATTCTGTTATTTATTAAATTAAATCATATCGTTGTTTTCCTTTTTTGTTCCTTTGTTGCTTTTTCTGAAATATGAAAAAAAATAAATTTAATGAACAATGATAAATTAAAAAAAAAAAAATTAAAAAAAAACAATATTCAAAAAAAAACAAAACAAATTAAAATGAAAAAAAATAACTGTTCTTTTCAGAGCGAGGCCCGCAAAGCGAAAAACAACAATTCAAAAAAAAAAAAAACAAATTAAAATGAAAAAAAAAATAACTGTTCTTTTCAGAGCGAGAGCCCGCAAAGCGAAACACGATTGTTATTTGCGAGCTACGGTTACAAACAAATTATGTATGCATGTGTGTTTGTATTTATGTATGCATTTATTTATTCATATTATTATTTAAAAAAACATTTTATGTTTTCCGAAGACCTCACTTTACTGTAATTATTATTATTTTTTTGTTTATGTGCTCCGGAAAACTCACTTCACTTTTTTTTTAAATCATGCACTTCACTTTTTATTTTTTTTACCATGACTGCTTCCTCGCCCGAGTCCAAAATTAAACTGACGCCATGTCAATCCACCGATCGCCTGCCGAGCTAACACTCTCAGTCACCATCCCTCTCGCACTGTGTCTCTCTTGAAGAGAGAGTCTCTTCACACAAAAACAAAAACATGTGTGTGACGCACGTTGATTGGAATTAGTCCGTTAGGAATAAGAAAGAATGTAGAAATATAGAAAACAAGAAAAAAGGAAAGAGTAGTAGAATAGGTGGCTAAGCTAACCCAAAAGTTAAATGTGCATATGTATGTACATATACACATATCGTAAAGCAATCGAGCTTTAGGGGCATTGCATATGGTTTAGATCTCAATAACGCAACATTGCAACTTCTCCTTAATGCATCAAACCAAAGACCATGGCTATATCGACTCGGCTAGTGACCCTGATCAAGAATATATATACTTTATAGGGTCGGAAACGCTTCCTTCTAGCTGTTACATACTTTTGCACGAATACAATATACCCTTTTACTCTACGAGTAACGGGTATAAAAAGAATTAAATTTGTAATATACATACAAGTTTTAAAATTTTAATTTTTTATTTGCCAGTAATTATTAGTGAACAAATAAAATTTGCCGTTCCATTTTATTTAAATTTATGGAATGCACACCACAGCCTTAATGAGTTTTCATCACAAAATTTGATGCTAGAAATTTTGTATGTTGAAAACGCGATCGTCACCGCTGTTTTACTTCGTTCATAAAAATATTATAATAATTAATAATAATTATAATATTTTATTCAAAATTAAAAAAATCAAATTTTGATTTACACACAACAATATATATATCTTTGCAACAGAAAGTGTATTTATTTTGTTTGAAACGAATAAAGCATTAAAAATTTATTATTTTTGAAAATGCGATCGTAACCGCTGTTTTACTTCGTTCATAAAATAAAATTTAATTTAAAATTTAAAAAAGTCAAATTTTGTTATTTACACACAACAATATATACGTCTTTGAAATAGAAAGTGTTGTTTGAATCGAATAAAGCATTAGAAATTTATTATTTAAAGACAAGTCTGTATATATAATATATACAATAAACCTCTTTGTTATCCATAATTACCCCCTTATTTATTCCTGAATAAATAACATTTGCCGTTACATTTTTTTAATTAAAAAAATATACACCCCCACTAATCTTGAACTTTTAGAAAATTGTACTATTACTATTTTAAGAGCCATTCCCTATTAGCTAATATAAAACATTATTTATTAACAAAACAGAGATTACTTTTTGAATTTTATAAAAAAAAAAAATTAAGAAAAATGTCTTCGAAACGAATTTTGTAATTGTTAATTTTCCCTGTTTCCTATTAAATAAATAAAAGAATAAAGAAAAAATGTGAGGAATAAAAACAATGCATTTTTTTACCACTAACCTCCGTATTTAAATAAATCGTATTACTTTTTCCGATCTCTTGAAGGATTTCCTGAAAAATATAAATATGAAAACCTTTTTTATTCATGAAATAATTAAAAAAACAATAAGTTCATAGAAAAAATTGTACAAAATAAAAAATGCAAACTTAAATTTATACTAAATTAAAATTATGATTTACATACAACAATACATTTATCTTCAAAATAGAACGTTTATTTATTTTGTGTAAAACGAATATTTTATTAGAACTTTAATAAGTCAGTATATAGTTAATATTTATTAGTAATAATAATATTTTAATATTTAGTTTAATATTTTATTAGTTTTTCAAACAAGTATCAATAACATTTTTTACCACTAACCTTTCGTACTTCGACGTATTCTGTTATTTATTAAATTAAATCATATCGTTGTTTTCCTTTTTTGTTCCTTTGTTGCTTTTTCTGAAATATGAAAAAAAAAAATAAATTTAATGAACAATGATAAATTAAAAAAAAAAAAATTAATTAAAAAAAAACAATATTCAAAAAAAAAAAAACAAATTAAAATGAAAAAAAAAATAACTGTTCTTTTCAGAGCGAGAGCCCGCAAAGCGAAAAAAAAAAATATTCAAAAAAAAAAAAACAAATTAAAATGAAAAAAAACTAACTGTTCTTTTCAGAGCGAGAGCCCGCAAAGCGAAACACGATTGTTATTTGCGAGCTACGGTTACAAACAAATTATGTATGCATGTGTGTTTGTATTTATGTATGCATTTATTTATTCATATTATTATTTAAAAAAATTTTTATGTTTTCCGAAGACCTCACTTTACTGTAATTATTATTATTTTTTTGTTTATGTGCTCCGGAAAACTCACTTCACTTTTTTTTTAAATCATGCACTTCACTTTTTATTTTTTTTACCATGACTGCTTCCTCGCCCGAGTCCAAAATTAAACTGACGCCATGTCAATCCACCGATCGCCTGCCGAGCTAACACTCTCAGTCACCATCCCTCTCGCACTGTGTCTCTCTTGAAGAGAGAGTCTCTTCACACAAAAACAAAAACATGTGTGTGACGCACGTTGATTGGAATTAGTCCGTTAGGAATAAGAAAGAATGTAGAAATATAGAAAACAAGAAAAAAGGAAAGAGTAGTAGAATAGGTGGCTAAGCTAAGCCCAAGAAGTTAAATGTGCATATGTATGTACATATACACATATCGTAAAGCAGTCGAGCTTTAGGGGCATTGCATATGGTTTAGATCTCAATAACGCAACATTGCAACTTCTCCTTATTGCATCAATCCAAAGACCATGGCTATATCGACTCGGCTAGTGACCCTGATCAAGAATATATATACTTTATAGGGTCGGAAACGCTTCCTTCTAGCTGTTACATACTTTTGCACGAATACAATATACCCTTTTACTCTACGAGTAACGGGTATAAAAAGAATTAAATTTGTAATATACATACAAGTTTTAAAATTTTAATTTTTTATTTGCCAGTAATTATTAGTGAACAAATAAAATTTGCCGTTCCATTTTATTTAAATTTATGGAATGCACACCACAGCCTTAATGAGTTTTCATCACAAAATTTGATGCTAGAAATTTTGTATGTTGAAAACGCGATCGTCACCGCTGTTTTACTTCGTTCATAAAAAAAATTTTATTAAAAATTTAAAAAAAATAAAATTTGATTTACACACAACAATATATATATCTTTGCAACAGAAAGTGTATTTATTTTGTTTGAAACGAATAAAGCATTAGAAATTTATTATTTCAAGTCTGTATATATATACAACTTTCATTTATTACTGAAACGAATTTATGCATAAACGGCCTTTTCTTACTAAAAAAAATGGTTTAAAGTGTGCAACGCAGTGAAGGAGACATCTCCGACCCTATAAAGTATATATATTCTTGATCAGGATCACCTCCTGAGTTGATATAGCCATGTCCGTCTGTCCGTCTGTCTGTCCGTATGTCTGTCCGTCTGTCTGTTTCTACGCAAACTAGTCTCTCAGTTTTAAAGCTATCGAATTGAAACTTTGCACACACCCTTCTTTCCTTTGCACGCAGTATATAAGTCAGAACGGCCGGGATCGGCCGACTATATCCTATAGCTGCCATATAACTGATTGATCGGAAATGCCATAACTTTGGTGTTTGTAAAGTTAGGAAGTTGGAATTTTCTATGGGTTATGACATTCTTATGACATTTGGTAGGTCGGATTGATTGGCCAAATATAAAACCCATAGAAAATACCAGCTTCCAAACCTTACGAACAAAAAAGTTATGGCATTTCCGATTAATCAATTGTATGGCAGCTATAGGATATAGTCGGCCGATCCTTATGAAATGAGAGTGCGTTTAGTTTTGCTTGCGTACGACCAAAAACGAACTGTGAGTAAGAAAGTAAAAGCGCGAAATAAAACGGTTGCGTTTATAAAAATTTTAATAATTTAAGTATATAATTTTTGAAAATTAATTTTTAAACAGCAACCACTAACCATACAACATATAGACTGGTCATTTCATACAACGAATTTGGTCACAAAATTTTTCACTCGGGGAGCCCCAGTGCTGGAATCGGCAGGCCCCGACACTTCGTGTGCCTTCGGGTTTTTTCGCTCTCGTTCTAATTCTTATTTTGACGCTCGCGCTCGAGTTCGGTCGTTCAGTCGCAGAGACGCGCATTTTAAAGAAGGTTGGCCTGCGCTTGAATTGGGCTTTGTATGTATGCGTGTTCATGCATTCTCATACAGGGGTGCATGTGTGCCATTTATATGCCCCAAAAAATAAGTTGTCCATGCTAACATATGCCAAAGCTCACCTATTGATGACACCAGACTTTTGGAACACTGTAATTTTTGCAGATGAATCAAAATTTAACATTTTTGGATCGGACGGAAATGCTTATGTTTGGCTAAAAGCTAATACGGAGCAACAGAAGCAGAACTTAAAGGCTACAGCAAAGCACGGTGGTGGGCACGAGATGGTTTGGGCCTGTATGTCCGCTGCAGGTCCGGGAAAACTGGACTTTTTTGAGTCTACAATGGACAAAATGAAATATCTCAATATTCTCAAGGACAATTTGTTGCAAAGTGCGGAGGATCTGGGAATAAGGTCAAATTTCCGTTTTTATCATTACAATGATCCAAAGCACAAGGCGGGTATTGTGCAGTCTTGGCTGAGCTACAACTGTCCCCATGTGATGATTCCGCCGTCTCAATCTCCAGAACTAAACGTGATCGAAAATTTGTGAGCAATTTTGGAGAATAATATTCGAAAATACTCCATTTCGAACCAAAACCAGCTGAAGGATGCTCTTTTCAAAGAGAGGAGCATTATATCAGCCGATCTGACAAAAAAATTAGTGGATTCGATGCCAAAAAGGCTTCAAGCGGTAATAGACACTAAAGGCTACCACACTAAATACTAAACAAACAAAAAAAAATAAATACTTTCCAAATATTTTTATATTTTTGGTGCTGCATAAAATAAGCTGTGAGGTAGAAATAAGCAGTATTTTATTATTTTGTTATGTTTTGGTTATAAAACGAAGAAGTAGACAATAAATGAAGTCACTAATTTAATCTAAACAATATCATCTTTAATTTGACACGACATTTGTTGCAGTACGCCTAATAGTTTTAACACTATGGAAGTTTGAAGTTAGGGGTTTGAAGTGCATACTTTAAGCTGTGAGCCACTGTACTTTATAGGGTCGGAAACGTCTCCTTCACTGCGTTACAAACTTCTGACCAAAATTATAATACCCTCTGCAAGGGTATAAAAACAAATAAATTTGTAATGTACATAAAGTTAGCAATGCAACTTTTGAAATTTTAATTTTGTTGTTCTTAATTTGCCTTTAATTACCCGTAAACCTCTTTGTTATCCATAATTATTCCCTTAATTATTGCTGAATAAATAACATTTGCCGTTACATTTTTTTTAATTAAAAAAATTTTGTACACCCCCACTAATTTTGAACTTTTAGAAAATTGTACTATTACTATTTGAAGTAGACCCATTCCCTATTACCAAAGATCAGGGGCATAGTCGGCCGATCCTTATGACATTTGGTAGGTCGGATTGATTGGCTAAATATAAAACCCATAGAAAATACCAGCTTCCAAATCTTACGAACAAAAAAGTTATGGCATTTCCGATTAATCAATTGTATGGCAGCTATAGGATATAGTCGGCCGATCCTTATGACATTTGGTAGGTCGGATTGATTGGCCAAATATAAGACCCTTAGAAAATCCCAGCTTCCTAACTTTACGAACAAAAAAGTTATGGCATTTTCGATCAATCAGTAATATGGCAGCTATAGGATATAGTCGGCCGATCCTTATGAAATGAGAGTGCGTTTAGTTTTGCTTGCGTACGACCAAAAACGAACTGTGAGTAAGAAAGTAAAAGCGCGAAATAAAACGGTTGCGTTTATAAAAATTTTAATAATTTAAGTATATAATTTTTAAAAATTAATTTTTAAACAGCAACATAAAGAGAATGCCGCGCGCATCTTCTTTGTCCTAGGAACAACGCCGTAAAGCGCACAACTAAGCGATCACAATATCAAAACAAATCGCAAATAAGGACCCAAATGCCCGGCGGTCTTTAAATAGTGTAAGCCACGCTCTTGCCTAATTTCGAAGAAATTGGACAAGAATGGACAGTCAATACGGACAATCGTGGAGCAGAGCGACCACAGCGTGTTCAGGAAAAAGTGTTAGCGCAAAGGTCGATGTCAGGTAGCTGACCAACGTGCACGTGCGCAATTCTTAAATTGCTATATGTAAGGATCGATTAAAGGCTTATACTGTAGTTTGATTTTATATTGCAGCCCAGCCTACCCAAATTTGTACAAATCTTGGATAACACCATTCAGATATATCACAATATCAAAACAAATCGCAAATAAGGACCCAAATGCCCGGCGGTCTTCAAATAGTGTAAGCCACGCTCTTGCCTAATTTCGAAGAAATTGGACGGCAGCAGTCGCAAAAAACTGCTGCGCTACCTGGACAGTCAGCACGGAAAACCGTGGAGCAGAGCGACCACACCGTGTTCAGGAAAAGGTGTTAGCGCAAAGGTCGATAACAGGTAGCTGACCAACGTGCACGTGCCCAATTCTTAAATTACTATATGTAAGGATCGATGAAGGGCTTTACTGTAGTTTGATTTTATATTGCAGCCCAGCCTACCCAAACTTGTACAAATCTTGGATGACACCATTCAGATATACCTGCTTTCCTATAAAAAAATAAGAACTGCCGTAATGCACGCAAGTAATTTGGGGGACACCGAGTTTCAGTGAACCTGAAAACAGCAATAATAAGGTGCCAACGAATTGTTATTAAACATAACTATAATTTTGATTTGCACAACGCATTTAAATTTGTAAACACATATATACAAATATTTTTTATGAACGTTTTTGTTAAGCAAACTATTTTTAAGAAATCGGCAAAATACCTATTTTGGCTAATTTATCTTTAAGAGGTGGGTACAAATGGGCCAATATCAATTTTTCAAACAATTTGTAATGTGAATATGGTTAGCACGGGCCACTATTACAATGCAACCTTTTTTTCTTAATTTGCCATTATTCATCCTTAAACTTTTTCATCCATAATTTGCCGTTAATTATTCATAAATTATGCCATAAATCTAATAAGGCATTCAGACAGCTATATACTTTTTAATTTTTAAAAGTGTATTTAAAAAACGAATGCTTAAATCCTTAATCATTTTTCGTCACAAACTTTGATAATAGAAATGTTAAAAACTCGATCGTTAAAAAGTGTTTTTACATAATACATTTAAATTTATCAATACTTATATAAAAATATTGATTTTATAAGCTGGCAAAGTTTTTTGCTGAAACGAACTATTTCCAAGTTGTGGGCAAACGACCTTTTTTTATTACTTATTTTGAAGATGTAGGCGCTACTGTACTTAACTTATTTAAAAAATATATAAAAGTAATATATATAAAAATATTTTTTTTATAAGCTGGCAAAGTTTTTTGCTGAAACGAACTATTTCCAAGTTGTGGGCAAACGACCTTTTTTTATTACTTGTTTTGAAGATGTAGGCGCTACTGTACTTAACTTATTAAAAAAAAAGAATTAAATTTGTAATATACATACAAGTTTTAAAATTTTAATTTTTTATTTGCCAGTAATTATTAGTGAACAAATAAAATTTGCCGTTCCATTTTATTTAAATTTATGGAATGTACACCACCACCTTAATGAGTTTTCATCACAAATTTGATACTAGAAATTTTGTATGTTGAGAACGCGATCGTCACCGCTGTTTTACTTCGTTCATAAAAAAATTTTATTTAAAATTTAAAAAAATTAAATTTTGATTTACACACAACAATATATATCTTTGCAACAGAAAGTGTATTTATTTTGTTTGAAACGAATAAAGCATTAGAAATTTATTATTTAAAGTCTGTATATATATACAACTTTCATTTATTACTGAAACGAATTTATGCACAAACGGCCTTTTCTTACTAAAAAAAAATAAATTTTTAATGTGCACATATTTAGCAGTGCAACTTTAAAATTTGTATTTATTAATTGACCTATTTGTTATCCATATTTTACCCGTTAATTATTCCTGAATAAATACAATTTTTTTAAAATATTATTTTTAAGTGGTTGGCAATGTTTTTTTTTAATAAAAACTATTTTTAAGATGCGGCCAAACAAACTTTTTATACCCTTGCAGAGGGTATTATAATTTTGGTCAAAAGGTGCAACGCAGTGAAGGAGACATCTCCGACCCTATAAAGTATATATATTCTTGATCAGGATCACCTCCTGAGTTGATATAGCCATGTCCGTCTGTCCGTCTGTCCGTCTGTCTGTTTCTACGCAAACTAGTCTCTCAGTTTTAAAGATATCGAATTGAAACTTTGCACACACCCTTCTTTTCTTTGCACGCAGTATATAAGTCGGAACGGCCGGGATCGGACGACTATATCCTATAGCTGCCATATAACTGATTGATCGGAAATGCCATAACTCTGCTGTTTGTTAAGTTAGGAAGTTGGAACTCTCTATGGGTATTATATTTGGCCAATCAATCCGACGTACCAAATTTCATAAGGATCGGCCGACTATATCCTATAGCTGCTATATAACTGATTGATCGGAAATGCCATAACTTTGGTGTTTGTTAAGTTAGGAAGTTGGGATTTTCTATGGGTTTTATTTTTGGCCAATCAATCCGACATATCAAATTTCATAAGGATCGGCCGACTATATTCTATAGCTTCCATACACATAACTGAACGATTGGAAATGCCATAACTTTGGTGTTTTTAAAGTTAGGAAGTTGGGATTTTTTATGAGTATTAAGAATGCATCATATGAATAATTTTGGAGAATATAATTTGCAGAATATTCTGCAAGGGTATTTCAACTTCGGTTCCGCCCGAAGTTAGCTTTCCTTTCTTGTTTATTATTGATTTTGAAGAGGTTAGCTCAAATGGGCTTATCTTACTTTAAACAAGAAAGGAAAGTTAACAAAACCCATAGAAAATCCCAACTTCCTAACTTTACAAACACCAAAGTTATGGCATTTCCGATCGTTCAGTTATATGGCAGCTATAGGATATAGTCGGCCGATCCCGGCCGTTCCGACTTATATACTGCGTGCAAAGGAAAGAAGGGTGTGTGCAAAGTTTCAACTCGATAGCTTTAAAACTGAGAGACTAGTTTGCGTAGAAACAGACAGACGGACAGACGGACATGGCTATATCAACTCAGGAGGTGATCCTGATCAAGAATATATATACTTTATAGGGTCGGAGATGTCTCCTTCACTGCGTTGCACACTTTTGACCAAAATTATAATACCCTCTGCAAGGGTATAAAAACAAATAAATTTGTAATGTACATAAAGTTAGCAATGCAACTTTTGAAATTTTAATTTTGTTGTTCTTTATTTGCCTTTAATTACCCGTAAACCTCTTTGTTATCCATAATTATTCCCTTAATTATTGCTGAATAAATAACATTTGCCGTTACATTTTTTTTAATTAAAAAAAATTTGTACATCCCCACTAATCTTAAACTTTTAGAAAATTATACTATTACTATTTGAAGTACACCCATTCCCTATTACCAAAGATCAGGGGCATAGTCGGCCGATCCTTATGACATTTGGTAGGTCGGATTGATTGGCCAAATATAAAACCCATAGAAAATCCCAGCTTCCTAACTTTACGAACAAAAAGTTATGGCATTTTCGATCAATCAGTTGTATGGCAGCTATAGGATATAGTCGACCGATCCTTATGACATTTGGTAGGTCGGATTGATTGGCCAAATATAAAACCCATAGAAAATACCAGCTTCCAAACCTTACGAACAAAAAAGTTATGGCATTTCCGATCAATCAATTGTATGGCAGCTATAGGATATAGTCGGCCGATCCTTATGACATTTGGTAGGTCGGATTGATTGGCCAAATATAAGACCCTTAGAAAATCCCAGCTTCCTAACTTTACGAACAAAAAAGTTATGGCATTTTCGATCAATCAGTAATATGGCAGCTATAGGATATAGTCGGCCGATCCTTATGAAATTTGGTAGGTCAGATTGATTGGCCAATAATGGGATGTATACCATCACCTTAAAGATTTTTTATCACAAAATTTGATATTAAAAATTTTGTATTTTGAAAATGCGATCGTAACCGCTGTTTTACTTCGTTCATAAAATAAAATTTAATTTAAAATTTAAAAAGTCAAATTTTGATTTACACACAACAATATATACGTCTTTGAAATAGAAAGTGTTGTTTGAATCAAATAAAGCATTAGAAATTTATTATTTAAAGACAAGTCTGTATATATAATATATACAATTTTTATTTATTACTAAAACGAATTTGTGCACAAATGGCCTTTTCTTACTAAAAAAAATTAATTTGTTATGTGCACAGAGTTAGCAGTGCAACTTTAAAATTTTAATTTATTAATTGTCCGTAACCTATTTGTTATCCATATTTTTCCCGGAAATTATTCCTGAATAAACACAATTTTATGTTTTTACATAGTTCATATTTGTTAATATTTTAAATATTATTTTTAAGTGGTTGGAAAACTTTTTTTTTAATAAAAACAATTTTTGAGATGCGGCCAAACGAACTTTTTAATTATTGATTTCGAAGAGGTAAGCTTAGATGGGCTTTTCTTACTTAAAAAAAACAAATAAATTTGTAATGTACATAAAGTTAGCAAAGCTAAAATAATAAAATTTTAAATTTTAATTTTGTTCTTAATTTGCCTTTAATTACCCGTAAACCTCTTTGTTATCCATAATTACCCCCTTATTTATTCCTGAATAAATAACATTTGCCGTTACATTTTTTTAATTAAAAAAATATACACCCCCACTAATCTTGAACTTTTAGAAAATTGTACTATTACTATTTTAAGAGCCATTCCCTATTAGATAATAGAAAACATTATTTATTAACGAAACAGAGTTTACTTTTTGAATTTTATAAAAAAAAAATTAAGAAAAATGTCTTCGAAACGAATTTTGTAATTGTTAATTTTCCCTGTTTCCTATTAAATAAATAAGAGAATAAAGAAAAAATGTGAGGAATAAAAACAATACATTTTTTTAGCACTAACCTCCGTATTTAAATAAATCGTATTACTTTTTCCGATCTCTTGAAGGTTTTCCTGAAAAATATAAATATGAAAACCTTTTTTATTAATGAAATAATTAAAAAAACAATAAGTTCATAGAAAAAATTGTACAAAATAAAAAATGCAAACTTAAATTTATACTAAATTAAAATTATGATTTACATACAACAATACATTTATCTTCAAAATATAACGTTTATTTATTTTGTGTAAAACGAATATTTTATTAGAACTTTAATGAGTCAGTATATAGTTAATATTTATTAGTAATAATAATATTTTAGTATTTAGTTTAATATTTTATTAGTTTTTCAAACAAGTATCAATAACATTTTTTACCACTAACCTTTCGTACTTCGACGTATTCTGTTATTTATTAAATTAAATCATATCGTTGTTTTCCTTTTTTGTTCCTTTGTTGCTTTTTCTGAAATATGAAAAAAAAATCAATTTAATGAACAATGATAAATTAAAAAAAAAAACAAAATTAAAAAAAAAACAATATTCAAAAAAAAACAAAACAAATTAAAATGAAAAAAAATAACTGTTCTTTTCAGAGCGAGAGCCCGCAAAGCGAAAAAACAATATTCAAAAAAAAAACAAAACAAATTAAAATGAAAACAAAAATAACTGTTCTTTTCAGAGCGAGAGCCCGCAAAGCGAAACACGATTGTTATTTGCGAGCTACGGTTACAAACAAATTATGTATGCATGTGTGTTTGTATTTATGTATGCATTTATTTATTCATATTATTATTTAAAAAAACATTTTATGTTTTCCGAAGACCTCACTTTACTGTAATTATTATTATTTTTTTGTTTATGTGCTCCGGAAAACTCACTTCACTTTTTTTTAAAATCATGCACTTCACTTTTTATTTATTTTACCATGACTGCTTCCTCGCCCGAGTCCAAAATTAAACTGACGCCATGTCAATCCACCGATCGCCTGCCGAGCTAACACTCTCAGTCACCATCCCTCTCGCACTGTGTCTCTCTTGAAGAGAGAGTCTCTTCACACAAAAACAAAAACATGTGTGTGACGCACGTTGATTGGAATTAGTCCGTTAGGAATAAGAAAGAATGTAGAAATATAGAAAACAAGAAAAAAGGAAAGAGTAGTAGAATAGGTGGCTAAGCTAAGCCCAAGAAGTTAAATGTGCATATGTATGTACATATACACATATCGTAAAGCAATCGAGCTTTAGGGGCATTGCATATGGTTTAGATCTCAATAACGCAACATTGCAACTTCTCCTTAATGCATCAAACCAAAGACCATGGCTATATCGACTCGGCTAGTGACCCTGATCAAGAATATATATACTTTATAGGGTCGGAAACGCTTCCTTCTAGCTGTTACATACTTTTGCACGAATACAATATACCCTTTTACTCTACGAGTAACGGGTATAATAAGAACTGCCGTAATGCACGCAAGTAATTTGGGGGACATTGAGTTTCAGTTTCGCGTAGCGGCTTTCGAAGAACCTGAAAACAGCAATAATAAGTTGCTAACGAATTGTTATTAAACATAACTATAATTTTGATTTGCACAACGCATTTAAACTTGTAAACACATATATACAAATATTTTTTAAGAACGTTTTTGTTAAGCAAACTATTTTTAAGAAATCGGCAAAATACCTATTTTGGCTAATTTAGCTTTAAGAGGTGGGTACAAATGGGCCAATATCAATTTTTCAAACAATTTGTAATGTGAATATGGTTAGCAGGGCCACTATTACAATGCAACCTTTTTTTCTTAATTTGCCTTTATTCATCCTTAAACTTTTTCATCCATAATTTGCCGTTAATTATTCATAAATTATGCCATAAATCTAATAAGGCATTCAGACAGCTATATACTTTTTAATTTTTAAAAGTGTATTTAAAAAACGAATGCTTAAATCCTTAATCATTTTTCGTCACAAACTTTGATAATAGAAATGTTAAAAACTCGATCGTGTCGACTATCTATCTCGTTAAAAAGTGTTTTTACATAATACATTTAAATTTATCAATACTTATATAAAAATATTGATTTTATAAGCTGGCAAAGTTTTTTGCTGAAACGAACTATTTCCAAGTTGTGGGCAAACGACCTTTTTTATTACTTATTTTGAAGATGTAGGCGCTACTGTACTTAACTTATTTAAAAAAATATATAAAAGTAATATTTATAAAAATATTGATTTTATAAGCTGGCAAAGTTTTTTGCTGAAACGAACTATTTCCAAGTTGTGGGCAAACGACCTTTTTTTATTACTTGTTTTGAAGATGTAGGCGCTACTGTACTTAACTTATTTAAAAAAAAGAATTAAATTTGTAATATACATACAAGTTTTAAAATTTTAATTTTTTATTTGCCAGTAATTATTAGTGAACAAATAAAATTTGCCGTTCCATTTTATTTAAATTTATGGAATGTACACCACCACCTTAATGAGTTTTCATCACAAATTTGATACTAGAAATTTTGTATGTTGAAAACGCGATCGTCACCGCTGTTTTACTTCGTTCATAAAAAAAATTTTATTAAAAATTTAAAAAAAATAAAATTTGATTTACACACAACAATATATATATCTTTGCAACAGAAAGTGTATTTATTTTGTTTGAAACGAATAAAGCATTAGAAATTTATTATTTCAAGTCTGTATATATATACAACTTTCATTTATTACTGAAACGAATTTATGCATAAACGGCCTTTTCTTACTAAAAAAATAAATTTTGAATGTGCACAGATTTAGCAGTGCAACTTTCAAATTTGTATTTATTAATTGTCCGTAACCTATTTGTTATCCATATTTTACCCATTAATTATTCCTGAATAAATACAATTTTTAATGTTTTAATGTGAATATGGTTAGCAGGGCCACTATTACAATGCAACCTTTTTTTCTTAATTTGCCTTTATTCATCCTTAAACTTTTTCATCCATAATTTGCCGTTAATTATTCATAAATTATGCCATAAATCTAATAAGGCATTCAGACAGCTATATACTTTTTAATTTTTAAAAGTGTATTTAAAAAACGAATGCTTAAATCCCTAATCATTTTTCGTCACAAACTTTGATAATAGAAATGTTAAAAACTCGATCGTGTCGACTGTCTATCTCGTTAAAAAGTGTTTTTACATAATACATTTAAATTTATCAATACTTATATAAAAATATTGATTTTATAAGCTGGCAAAGTTTTTTGCTGAAACGAACTATTTCCAAGTTGTGGGCAAACGACCTTTTTTTATTACTTATTTTGAAGATGTAGGCGCTACTGTACTTAACTTATTTAAAAACAAGAGAGAACGCTATAGTCGGGTGCCCCGACTATCAGATACCCGTTACTCAGGTAAAGGGAGTGCGAGGGAGATGGAGATAGAAACTTTGATCACGCATAACTTTTTAATGAATGGTCCGACTTGAAAAAGTTCTTCTACATTTCGATAGGTATTGATAAACACAATAAAACTGCATTTTTACTTTTCCGAAATATTTAAATTTTAAAATCGTATATAAGCGATTGTGGGCGTTAAAGGGGGCGTGGCACCTTTTTGAAACAAACTTGCGCTGCGTAGGAACTCCTAGAATCTGCATGCAAAATGCCAATCTTCTAGCTTTTATAGTTTCCGAGATCTCAGCGTTCATACGGACAGACAGACGGACAGACAGACGGACAGACGGACAGACGGACAGACGGACAGACAGACGGACAGACGGACATGGCTATATCGACTCGGCTAGTGACCCTGATCAAGAATATATATACTTTATAGGGTCGGAAACGCTTCCTTCTAGCTGTTACATACTTTTGCACGAATACAATATACCCTTTTACTCTACGAGTAACGGGTATAAAAATATAAAAGTAATATTTATAAAAATATTGATTTTATAGGCTGGCAAAGTTTTTTGCTGAAACGAACTATTTCCAAGTTGTGGGCAAACGACCTTTTTTATTACTTGTTTTGAAGATGTAGGCGCTACTGTACTTAACTTATTTAAAAAAAGAATTAAATTTGTAATATACATACAAGTTTTAAAATTTTAATTTTTTATTTGCCAGTAATTATAAGTGAACAAATAAAATTTGCCGTTCCATTTTATTTAAATTTATGGAATGTACACCACCACCTTAATGAGTTTTCATCACAAATTTGATACTAGAAATTTTGTATGTTGAAAACGCGATCGTCACCGCTGTTTTACTTCGTTCATAAAAAAATTTTATTAAAAATTAAAAAAAAATAAAATTTGATTTACACACAACAATATATATATCTTTGCAACAGAAAGTGTATTTATTATACCCTTGCAGAGGGTATTATAATTTCAGTCAAAAGTTTGCAACGCAGTGAAGGAGACATTTCCGACCCTATAAAGTATATATATTCTTGATCAGCATCACCAGGAGAGTCGATCTAGCCATGTCCGTCTGTCCGTCCGTCTGTCCGTCTGTCCGTCCGTTTCTACGCAAACTAGTCCCTCAGTTTTAAAGCTATCTGCTTGAAACTTTCCCAAAAGTTGTCTTTCTATTGCAGGTAGTATATAAGTCGGAACGAGCCGGATCGGGCCACTATATCATATAGCTGCCATATAACTGAACGATCGGAAATGCCATAACTTTGGTGTTTTTAAAGTTAGGAAGTTGGGATTTTCTATGGGTTTTATTTTTGGCTAATAAATCTGACCTACCAAATTTCATAAGGATCGGACGACTATATCCTATAGCTGCCATATAACTGATTGATCGGAAATGCCATAACATTGGTGTTTGTAAAGTTAGGAAGCTGGGATCTTCTATGGATTTTATATTTGGTTAATCAATCCGACCTACCAAATTTCATAAGGATCGGCCGACTACATCTTATAGCTGCCATATAACTGAACGATTGGAAATGACATAACTTTGGTGTTTTTAAAGTTAGGAAGTTGGGACTTTTTATAAGTATTAAGAATGCATCATATGAATAATTTTGGAGAATATAATTTATAGAATATTCTGCAAGGGTATATCAACTTCGGCTCCGCCCGAAGTTAGCTTTCCTTTCTTGTTTTGTTTGAAACGAATAAAGCATTAGAAATTTATTATTTCAAGTCTGTATATATATACAACTTTCATTTATTACTGAAACGAATTTATGCATAAACGGCCTTTTCTTACTAAAAAAAATAAATTTTGAATGTGCACAGATTTAGCAGTGCAACTTTCAAATTTGTATTTATTAATTGTCCGTAACCTATTTGTTATCCATATTTTACCCGTTAATTATTCCTGAATAAATACAATTTTTATACCCTTGCAGAGGGTATTATAATTTTGGTCAAAAGTGTGCAACGCAGTGAAGGAGACATCTCCGACCCTATAAAGTATATATATTCTTGATCAGGATCACCTCCTGAGTTGATATAGCCATGTCCGTCTGTCCGTCTGTCTGTTTCTACGCAAACTAGTCTCTCAGTTTTAAAACTATCGAATTGAAACTTTGCACACACCCTTCTTTCCTTTGCACGCAGTATATATGTCGGAACGGCCGGGATCGGCCGACTATATCCTAAAGCTGCCATATAACTGATTGATCGGAAATGCCATAACTTTGGTTTTTGTTAAGTTAGGAAGTTGGGATTTTCTATGGGTTTTATTTTTAGCCAATCAATCCGACCTATCAAATTTCATAAGGATCGGCCGACTATATCCTATAGCTGCCATATAACTGAACGATTGGAAATGCCATAACTTTGGTGTTTTTAAAGTTAGGAAGTTGGGATTTTTATGAGTATTAAGAATGCATCATATAAATAATTTTGGAGAATATAATTTACAGAGTATTCTGCAAGGGTATATCAACTTCGGCTCCGCCCGAAGTTAGCTTTCCTTTCTTGTTTTTAATTAAAAAAAATTTTGTACACCCCCACTTATTTTGAACTTTTAGAAAATTGTACTATTACTATTTGAAGTAGACCCATTCCCTATTACCAAAGATCAGGGGCATAGTCGGCCGATCCTTATGACATTTGGTAGGTCGGATTGATTGGCCAAATATAAGACCCTTAGAAAATCCCAGCTTCCTAACTTTACGAACAAAAAAGTTATGGCATTTTCGATCAATCAGTAATATGGCAGCTATAGGATATAGTCGGCCGATCCTTATGAAATGAGAGTGCGTTTAGTTTTGCTTGCGTACGACCAAAAACGAACTGTGAGTAAGAAAGTAAAAGCGCGAAATAAAACGGTTGCGTTTATAAAAATTTTAATAATTTAAGTATATAATTTTTAACAAGAAAGGAAAGCTAACTTCGGGCGGAGCCGAAGTTGATATACCCTTTGC